AATTATTATTTGCATGCACTGTAAAAAATGGTAATTTTTTTTCCTTGCACTTATTTTTTCTTCTTCTTTTCTCACTCATCCTTGTCATATTTCTTGATTGAAAATTCAATCTATTATATTGAAAATACTCGGATCTTCTTCTTTACCGGAGTAGTTATCGATCCTTCAATTATACTCTTTGTTTTTAATGTTCAATGCTTGGATTTTTTTTCCCAAAGTTTTTTGAGAATTCAGACATAAAAAAAAACTCCTATACAACTTTATTGCAATGATATAATCATACCCAGAAGGAAACAATTTCAGCTAAAGGGAGGGGAGGGGGTTAGATCTATGACTGAACAGAAATTCCTTGACAACAAAAAGGGGGAATCAGCACAACCCTCACCCCCACTCCGGTTCATGCTGGAAACTACTTCGTTACAAACTAGCAGTTGCATATCCGTGTTTTGAACAAACGTAATCGAGTGATCCAAAACACTGACCTGCAGTTTTTAAAGCCTGAAGTGTTTTTTTTTTTTTTTTTTTTTTTTTTTTTTTTTTTTTTTTTATCAAAAACACTTTAAAATAAACTTTTTTCGTAATTCTAAAAACTAGTATATGACATTTACTTACATAAACAAATCAACATTCCAATCAATTCACTTTCGAATTTCATTTATCTACAAGTACCAGTATTTTCCAAGACTTTTTTTTTTAAATTATATCCAATCAATAGGACATTGAATTCATTACTTTTATACTAGTATGCTAACAGCATATTCTGCTCGAAGGGAAATGACACTATTGAATTTTTACGAGGTCTCGTGAATATAAAAATTGATCGCAGAAAATGGCTTACTACGTATTTGCGATCGCTCAAAACTTGAAAATGGACGAGCAAATACCAGTTACTGACAACATGTCGAGGACTTTAAGTAGTAAGGTTTTTGCGCATCGATTAAGTTATTGAAAATTGCCGATATAGACAGGAATCGGCAAAGTCTTGTTTTCAATCACATTGGTAAGAGGTTTTACAAGTGTAAATACAAACAATTGTCATTCCAAACTCAAAATTTGAAGCTTTCAACTTAATTTTCGAATTCGGTAATGCAACAAAAGAAAATTGATTTTCAATACTAATTTATTTTGAACTGAAAGTTTTCTAAAACATTCTGTGTTTGTTAATTATAGACAAAGGCCGCTAGTTACAATGTATTATTATTATCTCTTTTTTTTTACTTTTTGGATTGTGCATGTATTGTTAAAAGCAGATAAATATAGCATTAGTCTGTTATCTATAAAGAGATGGGACCTTTCATGTTAAATACATGTACAGTTGACGGTATAAGAAATCGTTAATTTTTATTATAATTACTGTCATTTTTTGTTGGGGTGGGTGGGTGTGTTACACACGAAGGAAGGTATTATTTAGATTTATTATGAAATAAATGCCAAATGGGATACATGTACTTCTAATTTCTTCTTTTTTATTGGGAGGATCCTTTTTTTCGAGTGCTATACTGCATGGTGGTGTATAATTCATCCAAAAGATTTAAAAAAAATTGTTGAATTTAAATATAATGATAATAACTGGAAATTTCATATTTTTCTTTTAATGTTCATAATAGCCTAGTGTGTATCTTTCCCATTTTTTGTTGAAGATGACGTCACGTTCATAATTTTTAATTCTATTTCACATTATGACATTTTTGTTTTACATTAATAGTAACATCATGATAAGTAATAAAACAAGGTGTGTTTGTGAAATACTGATGCCCCCGTATGGCAAAGGTTAAAGTTTCTCAAATGCAAGTCAAACTCCAAGGTCAAGGTCAAGAAATCAAAAATGTTGTTACCAAAAGAAAGGACTCGTGTCAATGGATATACCTGGTAATTATGAAAGCCCAAGCACCAACCATGACCAAAAATTATGGTAAAGGTTGATGTTCTCTAAGAGTGGGTCAATTGTCAAGGTCAAGGGGTCAAAATTAATGACACGCAGGAGAAGACCTTGTCATAAAAAAATACACATGCAAAACATAAAAGCCCATAGCACCCACTGTTCAAAAGGTAATGGCGAAGATTAAAGTTTTTCAAAAGTATGTCAAACTCCAAGGTCAAGATCAATTGTTGGTATCCAAAGAAGGTCTTGTCACAAGGAATTTACGTGTGAAATTCGAAAGCCCTAATACTAACTGTTCAAAAGTAATGGTCAAGGTTAAAGTTTTTTTAAAAGTGGGTCAAACTCTAAGGTCAAGGTCAAAAAACATTTACACCCATGGAAAGGTCTTGACACGGTGAATACACATGTGAGATATGAAAGCCCTAGTACCGGCTGTTCAAAAGCTATTGCCAAGGTTAAATAGTTTGGTAAATATTTGCAAAAGTGGGTCGAACTCCAATGTTAAGAGGTCAAATATGTTCGTACCCAAAGGAGGACCTTGTCACAAGGAATACATATAAGAAATATTTGAAAGCTATAGCTCCAAACAATCTAAAGTCAATGTTAAAGTTTTTGCGGACAGACAGCTAGACAGACGGACGGACAGCTAGGGCAAAAACTAACGAATCTTCAATTACGGGGGCATAAAAAGATCATATATACGATTTTACAATCTGGCGAGACCTAAGAAGTATGCTTCCAAATCATATCAAATTTGGTTTCAACCATAGTCCTTGCGTTTTTAAGTTTGTAATGTTCATCTTAATTGAATAATTAAATTTAAAAAGAAATCTTACTTGATTTTTCTGTCTTATATTGTTTTTCATTTCCATTGAAATACGCGTACGTGCACTTTCATAAAACCATTGAACTTCACTAAATTGCGAAAACCAATACATGGCATCGTACTTCAGAATCTGTAGTTTCGTAAGGTAAAAATAATTGAAAAGCCCTAAAAAATCAATCGTGACGTACAAGGCTATTTATTAACATGAGTTGGACCATTCCAACAGATCGAAGAAATATCGAAGCCCTTGTACAGTAAGCTTTCAGATGTTGTTTACAAAGGTATTAACATCAAGTCCTATTGTAAAACCGTGTTTTAAAAGAATGATTAGATTCCATTATTACTTTTTCCTGACTGTTGAACCATTAATCAATCGATGACGATTTTCAAAAAAAAAAATAAATAAATAAATAAAAATAAAAATTATTATGTTTCTGTTATTAGATTTTCACCGACTCTAAAAGAATCTCTCTTTTTTTTTTAATTCTATTTTATCGTAATTGTTTTTTTTTTTTTAAATTAAGCATGCTTTTATTTTAATCCAGAAAAACTATTAATCTGAATAAATCATTTGCTTTAGTTTTCTGTACGTCGAAGAATATTCAGATTTAATGTGTAAAGGAAAATGGAGTCATTAAAATATATAGATAACAAGATGTGTTTGTGAAACACTGATGCCCCCGTATGGCAGCTTATGTCGAAGGTTAAAGTTTCTCAAATGCAAGTCAAAATCCAGGCCAAAAGATAAAAAATGTTGATACCCAAAGAAAGATCTTGTCTCGAGGAAAACACCCGTGAAATTTGAAAGACATAGATACAACTGTTCAAAAGTTATGGTGAAGGTTAAAGTTTTTTTAATGAAAGTCAAACGTCAAGGTCAAAGTCAAAGTGGTTGGTATCCAAAGGAAGATCTTGTCACAAGGATTACATATGTGAAGTATGAAAGCCCTAGCACCAACCATTCAAAAGTTATGGCCAAGGTTAAAGTTTTTCAAAAGTAGGTCAAACTCCTAGGTCAAGGTCAAAGTGGTTGGTATCCAAAGGAAGGTCTTGTCACAAGGGTTACATATGTGAAGTATGAAAGCCCTAGCTCCAACCATTCAAAAGTTATGGCCAAGGTTAAAGTTTTTCAAAAGTAGGTCAAACTCCTAGGTCAAGGTCAAAAGGGTCAAAGTGGTTGATATCCAGAGGAAGGTCTTGTCACAAGGAATACACATGTGAAGTTTGAAACCCTAAGCACCAACTGTTCAAAAGTTATGGCCAAGGTTAAAGTTTTTCAAAAGTAGGTCAAAGTCCAAGGTCAAGGTCAAAAGGTCAAAGTTTTGGTATCCAAAAGAAGGCATTGTCACAAAGAATACACATGTGAAGTTTGAAACCCCAAGCTCCAACTGTTCAGAAGTTATGGCCAAGGTTAAAGTCTCATAAAATTTTGCAAAAGTGGGTCAAACTCCAAGGTCAAAAGGTCACATATGATGGTACCCAAAGAAAGGTCTTGTCACAAGGAATACACATGTGAAATATGAAAGTCATAGCTCCAACCAATCAAAAGTTATGGGCAAGGTTAAAGTTGACAACAGACAGACAGACAAACAAACAGACAAACAGATAAACAGACAAACAGACAGACAGGACAAAAACAATATACCCCCGGGATCTTTTGATCCGGGGGCATAAAAACTTAATTTACCCTATAACACGACAATAATTTACGTTCCTCCCGATAAATTAATCATTTATTCAATAAATCAATCAATGCAGAACTTCCTTATTTCACCGGATCGAAAACATTTTTCTAAAAATAATCATCGAATCCCGTTCCAAATTTCCTCTTTCTTGCGGACAAGCAGTACTATACATGTATACCCTACTTATAAATACATGTATTATGTAATCTCGACATAGTCACAGGTTCCCGAGAACAGGATAACCCCCCCCCCTCCAAAAATATACCCGTTAATACCGGACTTTTTCCGACCTTTTCGTCATAAATAATCTTTTTAAGACATATCTTTTCTATCAATCCCAAAAAATAACTAAAACAAACATTTCATTAAGTTTTATATAAAAGAAGGAAGCCAAATTCCTCTCGATTCCGAGAGGCACTGCTGAGGAATTTCTGACAAGGTCTCATGAAATTACACCTAGCCGTTACACTAACAACTTCATGCTGTAGGTTGAATCTTCATTTCTACCACCAACTCTCAAAAAAATTTAGCAGTTCGTAACGGCCAGTTTAGAACTGATGCAACTTCAATCAACACTGCTGGGTTTTTTTTCATAATACAACATGGAGAATGTGATTTTTTTTTATTAAAATTGTAGAATAAACTAAAACATCTACCGAATCAGTTTCACGGAAACTATATTTTATGAGCTTTTAACACTTACATTTACATGTACAAACACATTTATAACAAGTTATTGGCAGCTAAATAAAAATGCAATAGGACAAACACATGTACTTTGTCTCAAGCATTTACAAAACTGTTCATTTTACAAAAGAAAGGCTCATTAAAATAAATATTCAAGATGTGTACATTTGTTTTGTACATACCATACAACAAAAAGCATTATTTGTGCTTATATTCATGTTTTACAATATTCACAAATTGCTCTAGAAATAAAATTAGATGATGTACTTCCAATGATAATCAGTGGTCTAAATTCCAAAAATGAATACTTTAATTCATTTCTTCCACCTTCAGAATATTTTAAAATCATATATCTGAATTTAAGTTTATACTTTTCCTTAAACTTGTTTTGAATACATGAACATTTTCATAAATATCACAGATAATAAATAATATTTTGAATTTCTCTGCCTTTTTAAACATTTCCATTTCAGGATATTTCATTTGCCATCAGCAAGGACTGTAATGCCTTTGCATATCCTGAAAGTAAGAGTAGGATATTAAATTTCAATGTTCAATTATTGTTCACATTTTCTCAAATCTGGAAATCTTAGAGGATATGACATTGAGAGTCTCAATACCAATCTAACTACATCTAAAGGAAGACTATATTTTCTTTTTTATGATCCCCTCCAATTCATTTAAAGGATCAGAAGTATACAAATCAGAATAAAATTTCCAACATAATTTTCCCCGACAAACAAGCCTTTACCTCTGGGGTTTCTGTAGAACACACAGTTATTGGCACAGGTGTCAGGATTGGTGTCCCAAAGTGTCATCCCACAGCAGCATAGAGGAGGCAGTTCTACCCCACGTTTATCCATCTTCTCCTTTAATTGTTGCTTCAGGGCTTCAACAAACCTGGGAATAATTTTGACATTCATATATGTGTAACAGCACATTTAGTCCTGCTTATAATGTAGTAACTGCTATTTACATGTAGGTATGTATTATTACTGTGCACATCTTTTATAAACAATTCAGAAAGTTTGCAACATACCTTATAATGACAATACAGTGAAACCTGTCTAATCCAACATGCACTTAAAGACAAATTTTGTATTGAAATAGGGTGTCAGCACACAGTTGTAAAAAACATGGAAGTTGTAAAATAGGAATAAAAATAGAGGTTGGAATTCACAGAGAAACGGATTGCACAGGTGTTTGATTAGACAGTTTTCACTTACTTTCAATATATATTTCAATTTGCAAGAAGTATTTTAACCTCTAAAGAGTAATGAAAACAATACACAGACCTACATGTATGTAATTTAGTGAATATAGAATGTATTCCTATTGTACCTTTCCATTTCCTTGACTTTACGAAGTCTCTCCTCATTTTCCCTGATGACTTGTACCACATGCCGATGCTCCTCAATTTCCCTTTGGAGGGCCTCCAGTGATGTTTCTCCTGTGAGGGGATCACGAGGTTCTACTGACCTCAAGGACATCTCCTCCTCATTTCTCCTCTCCTCTTCCTTCTCTAGTTTTAATCTGAAAATATCCACATATTAATCAATCAAGCATTCATATAAACAAAGGTACATTAGTCGTGAAGTAAAAAATAAGTTATGCTGGCAAGTATAAATCTGGCAGTTCTTTTCCAATATTGTGGGTTGATGCTACATGTCTTTTGATAATTCACTTTATCAGAATTGTCCTATTTCATTCTGCTCATACAAGGAGAAGATCACAGACTCCAACAGACTCAGTCACTTAGCACCAAAAAAAATGGATAATTAAAAGTGTTATCTTACTTATTTTCAAAGACAAGAAGGGGCTAAACTTAGAAAATATTTCAATTTATTTCATACTTTTGAATTCGTTTGTGATGTTCCTTCCTGCGTATGTTTTCCTTGACTTGTTCCCTCTCTATGTCCATAAACAGCCGTCTGTACGTAGCCTGCTGTAACTTCTGCTGCTTCTTCTGCTCCTCTTTGTGAACCCCGGCATAAATATCAGGTACCGGCTTCCTTCTGTGACTCTGGCCCCCCAGAGAAGCATGGGCTAAAGAATGGCAAATTTACAGAAATTTAAAGGAAGATAACTCAATCTATCAATTGATGGCAATAAAATCTGGATCACCTATATTATTTTTCCTAGAATTTTTATACTTTCAAATAGAATCCTGTTTTTACAGGAAACATTAAGAAATAATGAAGTCGTATGATTTCAAATTTTTACAACCGCAATATTTATATAAAAAAATTACAATGATTTCAGCTTGTTTGGGAATAATAAACTGTGGCATGTAAGCCAGTAATTCCTGTTGAAAATCTCTTTCAGAGAATTCTTATCTCATGAAAGCAAGAAGCAATTTTCGTCAAATAAAATGATTCAACTCTACAAATAATGTCCTTACCACTTTTACACCTTGGTCTCCCTTGTTTTATTTCATGGAATGTAGGCTGTAGATTGAAATGGACCACTTTATCCAGAGGGTCTGTACTCTCATTTTCTTTGTCTTTATCTTCATCTTCAGTATCTAGAACATACACAGAAAAGAGAATATTAGGTTAAAATGGGAATTCATTTCGAACACAAAATTAATGTTTACTTGCTTTCTGTATATAAAAAGAATGAATCCTTAATAATAGACCAGTGGACTCAACTGTGTCACCAGTCTTTTAATAACTATGTACATGTAGATAAAAAAAAAAATGAAATCCCTTGTGTGGTCACCAAATTAAATTCCATGATTTCAACAATTTCATTTAAAATATATTGATGTTAAAAATTCAAAATTTAATACAAAACAAAGCAAGATTGCAAATTACCTTCATTTTCTTTTTCCGCATCTTTAATAGTCTTTTCATTTGAAGATCTCAGAGGCAGCTAAAATTAGATGTAAATACCTGGTAGGTTATCCATAAAATTGAAAACCAAGAGATAAAACAAGATGGACCTAAGGGACAAACCATCTTAAATTTATATTATGTCTATGATCTTACTTCTCTTGAGACAGACACCTTCCACACCCCTCCTGGAAGTCCATCAGAGATGACATCGTCTGTTAATATCTGCTTAGAGACTAGTCTGCTCCTGGCCTGTCTTGTTACTTTGTGTACCTTTAAGTTTAATTTTCTTGTACATGAATGAAATGTTGATGTACACATATGTTACCAAATCTCTTCTTCACCCCCCCCCCCCTCCCCCCCCCTTTACACTCACAAATACAAACTCAATTTAACAGGGAGAACAAAATAATTTATTCCCTAAAGATTTATTAATTTTTACTTATCAAAATGAAACATTTTTTGGCAAAATATTAGCTTATTAAATTATTAATCTTTTAACATTAAAAGATGTTAAAAGACTAACATCCTCAGTATGTTCAGATGATACATCCTAACATAATACCTAACATACATACTAGGATGATACAACCTACCATTTAGTGGTAGGTTGTATCACCCTAGTATGTATGTTAGGTAGTGCCTTAAAGAGTTTGGAAAATCCCCCAAAACAATTTGTTTCTACAAACTCTGTTTGGTGGTATAAAAAAAAACTGTGATAGTCATACCTCCTCTGTGTGATCTATGAATGCATGTTCCTCTGAATTCTCACTATTTCTCATGTTTCCCTCTATAAAAAAAAGGAAAATCTTAACAACAAAGGGATTCAGAGCCTACGCATTTTCACATGTCAATTTAGAAACAGGCATACATCAAACAGAATTAATTCAATATACAGGTCAAGCGTGCTTATGGATGGCTACATGTACTGTCATACTGCCTTTACCGAGATAAACATTTATCAGTGTGGTTCATTATGAAAAATTATAATATTGCAGTTTTTCATAATAAAACTATATTATGAAAAACATCTATAATATGAATATTGGAAAAATGTAATACATGTACTGTGTTTTGCAAATATTAAAATAAGTCTATCAAATGCATAAATACAATTGAAATAGCTCTTAACTTTTTTTTTTTTTTTATTGTTTTCAAGGTGCAGTGTGTGAATTATATCAAGCAACTTTACTTATATTTGCACACTTTCAATGTCTCTATTTCGCAAACAGAATTTTTTATGGGAAGGCAGTAATTTCCTTCACTGTTAAAAAATGACCGTGAACTGATACTAGTCTTATGTCTCCATCCTCTCTATAGTTGTTTGCTCCATGCAACCACTGTTTCTTCTACTGCATTACTAAGGCACTACTACTATAAATTTCTCTTCTTCACCAATCTAAAGCCTTAGATTAGACACATGACATTCCTCATATATCAGCACTACTTAATTTTCATGCTACACATGTAATAAGACATAGTACTGCACCAGCTGATACATGACAATGGGAGAGATAACTCCCATTAACACTTTGTAACAGAAAATAGTAATACAAGGCCAAAAACATTAATCTTTACTTTCTCAGGCCAAAAATTTCAAAATGAGTACATCCTAGAAACTCAATGTTTAGGACACCTGAACTTCAATGCCTGTAATTGCAAATGTTCATTTAATAGACTAAGACTTTAATAAAGAAATAAAAATACAAATCTTTCATAAACTTTCAATATCCAATGACTGTAATGACAATACTAACCATATGAACTAGATGGACGTATTTGCTTAATTGCATGTGTTCCATGTTTTCTGATCAAACAACTGTCTTTTCTTGGGACAATGTTTTCACTGAAGGCACTTTGCTGCAAGATGCTCTGCTCTTGTTCAACCTGCAAAGTGAAGATTACAAATACCCATAATTAGTATTTATATCTTATAAACATATTTTTTTTTAAATATCTGGGAGACTGGGATAACGACACTCATAACTGTTCTTCCACTTCATCCATACATGCTTCATCTAAAATGGTTGAATTTAGTTTTGTCAATCAAGAGAAAGAGCTGAAAATGTTCAAACTTTATGAAGGATACACTTCAATCGACAGGAAGAAAATGTTAGGTAACTTAAAAAGACATGTTTCATTTGAATTTTTAATGAGCGGCTAGCTGCATCATACATGACTGTGTAGATAAAATATACAATACAACAAAAGACCAAGTTTTCTTCTTCTTACAGCATATAGTCTAGCCATGAATAGAAATCTGACAAATACAGAGCATAAGTTTGGTTAAACTACATGTAATGATCTTGACATTTTGATCTTAACCTTTGAATATGTGTCCTAGAAATTTATACATGTAAGTACAATAGATCCCATTAAATTTTGGTAAGGCAAGACAATTATTAGGTTTTTTAAAATTTTTTCCTAAAGTTTGGTTCTTGCTGTAAAAATCTTTAACAAAACAAAATAGAGGTAATATGAGCTATGAGCTCAAAAAATGATACCCCCCACTCCCATATGAGTATAATTGCAAAGTCCATGTTTTGTTATGGGAATCCCCAAATATTAGTCTGATCAAAACGTTAAATAAAAGGTGCACAGTGGAACTATGTAATAAGGATTTTGTGAAAGTCTCTTTAAATTTTATTCAGTGGTATAAGAGAAGTTGTAGAAAAGAGATGGTGCCCCCTATGTTTAAAGAATATTGATGAATAGGAAGACTGCATGGCTGCTGAAACGTACTCAAGTTTTTCTGCTATATAAACTGTGTTGAAGGAAAAATAAAAAATAAAATTATTTTGACTGTCAATAAATGACCTGAATCTATAGGTATTTCTCTTTTACCATTGTACAGCTATGTAATGTATTACACGAAGTGAACTTTTTAGAATAAAATCTGTCTCTGCATCACTTAAATAATGCAACAGGCATTTTGATAGTCTGGACTCTAAAATCAAATTACAGAGCTGTATACCCCTTTTGTTGTTTGTCAGTATTTTAGATGAGATTTTCAGTAAGATTTGGCATTTATCATTAAAATTCTCACATTTATCATTTATCAGTTCAATTTTTTTCAGGTGAAGAGATTAAATTAAAGAAAAGTTATCATAATAAATGGCTATGAAAACCATGACTAATCCATTCCAGATGTTTGCTTGACAATAATTGTTTTACTGCTAAATTGTTAAAAATATGGAGAAACTGTGAAAGTAAACAGGTCCAGAATTACTAATTGAACACCTTTGCAAGTACTGTTATACAACAATAATCAATCCACAGAGTACATAAACGTGTTTTTTGTAACATTTCATTATATCGTTTCATTATATCAATAGTTAAAAATGGAAACTCACAGCATTGAAGGACTTTTCTAGCTCTTTTTGTTTGCGTGCTTTTTCCATTAATCGCACTCGGTTTTTCACGTCTTCTCTGAATCTTTTCAGCTTTGCTTCTTTTTCAGCTTGAGTCTGTCTTATTCTTGCTTCCTCTTGTTCTGCAGCTGCCTGTATCAAACCCAAAGTTTTAGTATACATTATTGTAACAGCTGCCTGTATCAAATCCAAAGATTTAGTATACATTATTGTAACAGCTGCCTGTATCAAATCCAAAGATTTAGTATACATTATTGTAACAGCTGCCTGTATCAAATCCAAAGATTTAGTATACATTATTGTAACAGCTGCCTGTATCAAACCCAAAGATTTAGTATACATTATTGTAACAGCTGCCTGTATCAAATCCAAAGATTTAGTATACATTATTGTAACAGCTGCCTGTATCAAATCCAAAGATTTAGTATACATTATTGTAACAGCTGCCTGTATCAAATCCAAAGATTTAGTATACATTATTGTAACAGCTGCCTGTATCAAACCCAAAGTTTTAGTATACATTATTGTAACAGCTGCCTGTATCAAATCCAAAGATTTAGTATACATTATTGTAACAGCTGCCTGTATCAAATCCAAAGATTTAGTATACATTATTGTAACAGCTGCCTGTATCAAATCCAAAGATTTAGTATACATTATTGTAACAGCTGCCTGTATATCAAATCCAAAGTTTTAGTATACATTATTGTAACAGCTGCCTGTATATCAAATCCAAAGTTTTAGTATACATTATTGTAACAACTGCCTGTATATCAAAGTCAAAGTTTTAGTACATGTTATTGTAGCAGCTGCCTGTATATCAATTGCTAAATTTTAGTACACGTTGTTGTAACAGGTGCCTGTATAATATCAAACCCAAAGTTTTAGTTCATGTTATTGTAGCAGCTGACTGGAGAAGTTCCCATGTACCTTATACATTACCTGATATTTTCAGACAAAACATATTTTTGATATTAAATCTACTGTAAATGATGTGGAAAGTTCAGCCATTTCGAGTGCAGTAAATCATCAACTCATATTACATATAAATATAGCAGAGGTGCTTATAGGTTTCAAGGAATGACAATTTCCTCTATTATCCTCAATTCCTTCCCATCACTGAATATTGCAGAAATTATACAATATGTACTCTTGGTCTTCAATCAACTGCTTGCACACAAAATTGTGTTAATGCATGCAGACACAGGGTAAAACACTGAAGGTGTCAAGAGCTCATAATTATGATGCTACATGTATCATTAAGCCTTGGATTAACTTTTAACACGTAAATTTTGCATCTCCAATAATAATTATTGTGTTACTGATTCTCAAACAATGCCTCCCATTGCTATTTAATATCACCTGTGAGGGCATGCATAAGGGTTAATGTTACGATTTTCTAAGTTTTTATTTTGACCATAAAAATATATTTCAGGAAAACATACACTTAATAATTATTTTTAAAAATAACTTTATTCTTCAAAAGCAAGAAATAAATAAATTACAAGAATGTTTCCTGCAAATTAATGAATTCATCATACTATTAGTATACTTTTTAAATGTACTTGTGTAATTGTATTTTGAAAACAGAAGGTACTATGCAGGACTTTCAAAAAGATTAGAAACAGGTGGCACATTAACAATTTCGGAGGTACATTGTGGAAGCAAAATTTTTTTATTAAATGTTATCAAATTTTACTCCAAAACAAAAAAAAAAATTTACTCCAAAAAAAAAAAAACTTACTCCAACTAATATTTTGGCCAGTACAATCATGATTTCTGCCCGGTAAAAGTACCGGGTACCAGCAAATACTGAAAGGGCCTGTACTATGCCAAGGCAGGGATATACATGATATACTAACAGTAACAGAACAGGCAAGTTGCAACTCTTGCAAGCCTTGGGATATTTTGGCAGTTGGCATTTCATTAGTCAATCTTAATCATAATACATGCATTACATATATATATATATATATATATATATATATATATATATATATATATATATATATATATATATATATATATATATATTATATATATATATCAGAATAAAGATTTTAATTAAGGAATGAATTTAGTTTAATAGCTACCCAATTTATACAGCATAAACTGGGTTGGGGCAGTTTATGCTTTTTAACCTTTATAAACCGCAAAGCGTAAACTGTTCCAACCCAGTTTATACCATATAAATTTGGTAGCTATTAATTTCATTCCGTATAATTTAATTTTCATTCATTTAATGTAAGAAAATAGGATGATTGCCCTTATGAAATGACTTCAAATTGAACAAAATTTAAATGTAACGTCGGTGGATCGATACGTTTTTGATGCAAGTTATTGTGACCTGGGAAACCCATTTTATACAATATAAAGTAATTTTTTTATCCAATCAAATACCTCATTATAACCTGATAACCAGAATTAAATTATTCATCGATCAAAAAATCATTCAAAATTTGTTATTTGCCCTGTTTATACTCTGACCTTTGTTGTATTTTCAAAATTAACATATGCCTCTGATCAGCTGTATTTTGAGATTTTGCAGAATGTGGTGGGGTTTCGCTTATATTTAAATCATTTTACAATGCATGCTTTAATTTTTTTTTTTTAAAAATCCACCCCAAAAACAAAAAGAATATTCAGACTATATTTATCAGAAAACAAACTTTGTACTGGAATTAAACATAAGCATCAAGCCCCCCCCCCCCCCCCCCCCCCCAGGAGGCCTGTATTACTAGTTAAATATTCTAACCACTGAGCTATCCACGCTCATAGAAATGGCCTTCAAATCCCAAAATCACTACTTATATTCTATCTATTTCCTGATTTTAATTATCAATATAAACTGACTTTTCAATTAAATGTGAGCATGATCGGACTTGTACGAAGTCCCGAAGAATATTTATATTTTAAAGAAAACTAATCATACCACGCCTTCTGCAGGAGCGGAATACGCTGGCTGGACCCAAGCACCAACTGCTCGAATTTCTACATTCCTGTTACCCATCACATCGGTGCTTATAACAGGTTTTGTTATTTTTCTCAACCCGACTGTATTTGTTTTGGCCGCCATCTTTAACATGAGTACAGACTCAACAATTCCGTTCGGATATTACCGGAAACATTTTCGTAGCACCAGGGACCAATCACAATTTCACGGACAAGCGAAAAAAAAAAAACGATCTTGCCGGAAAAACTTGAGAAGATGCGATTGGGACCTATATAATAAATAGTATATAGCGAAAATGCATTTGTGTATTAAATAAGCACTCCCAAGAACATGTTATTTTTTTTTTAAAATACTGAGATCTGGCTTGAGTTTTACTAATTAAGCTTCTTATCTTGAGGAAAAAATCTGACTATAAGATGAAATGAAGAAGCTTAGTAAAACTCAAGCCTGGTCTTTAATTTATCGTCACGGTGGTGAATGGTTGTATAGTGTTTTGAAAATCCTCCGTTTTAATGCCATTTATTATGGTACAGGTTTATCTTCAATCAAAACCTGTCCCTGAGAACTTCAGTCTGTTGTAAAAAAAAATATATATATATCAACATGATCAATTAACGAGGTTGGATCCTGATATTTAAAGTCTTAAACTTTTTTTGCTAAGTATATTTTTAGTTTCTACACACATAGCTTAATTAAAAATCAAAACAAAAAATGGGGGTCAATACGCTTCTTTTGGCGCTACAGTACATTTAATATGACCTTTTTGCACTGAAATTTGTGTCTTAATCAAAAATCACATCTTCGACGTTTTCCCTCCAATGCTTTTATCCAAATAAATCATGAGACAAATTAAACTCCTATTAGTCTATTTGAAAAAAAGACGCTTCAAAATTGTGACTAAGAAAAAGTTTCAAACTGCTTCGCATAATCAATTATTTGACCTTTCTGCACTCAAAAAATGTAATTTTTCTGGGATTAAAAATTTAACAAGCAAGAAAATTATTTTAAAGTCTTAAACTTTTGCTGAATTTAGGCAGATTGATCAAAGTTATCTTATATATTTAGAAAAGAAAAACAAAAGTGGGGGTCTATGATGAAAATTTTTCGATTTAACTAAAAAAGTGTTAATTTTATGTTAAAATTGGCTAAATTTTTTCCTGGACTTTCAGAATATATTTACTATATTTGTCACATTATAATGAAAAAAATCATAAGAAATAATTTAATAGAAATTTCAGAACCAGCATAAAACATTTCACTGCAAAAAAACAGCTCTGTGTACACCCAGCATGGAAAAATAGGAATCTAAACTTAACAGTACTGTATATAATTCAAAAGGGAAACAATGATCATTTTCTCAAAAAAAAAACCTTCCGCCACAAAATATAGTTCCTAGCTTAATCCTCATTGAATGGAGTGTAATTGCGTTTTTTTCATTGGATATATTTAATTTGCATTGTAGAATTCAGATTTACTGTTTGAACGTAAAAATCATGCAGAATTTCATAAATAAAGGTCCAGACCAAAATCTGCTCTAAAGCACAGGATCGAACCTCCTTAACTCTCAGTAATGCTACATTCATGAAATAAGTCGTACGTTTGGGTTCAAAATTTGAATTTTAAGATCTAAAATTATTTTGTTTATGGGTATTTCCTGTATGGATAGAGTGGTAGATCTCTGCATATGGACTTACATTTGTACATGTATATGGCAATTTTCGTATATACCATGTAGAACCTCATATTGTTTACATATACATGTACATGTATGTATTGTGAATTTCAAATGTTTTGTCAAAAACAAGGTTGTTTTTGAGAATATGACGTCATAATGTGCACTGCCTATGACATGCCTTGAATTCTATGCATGTATAGGAAAATGAATTAAACTTTCTCTTAATATAATAGATATATCATGCGTTTTTATATGCCCATTTACAAAATTATATACCTAAGCTTAGCCTTCACTCACTTGCGGAGATTTTTGAGGTAGCCAATCAGACGAAGCACACGTGCAAGTATGTGTTTTCATGCTGAATCACTCATATCATCCTGTCTTCATTACTAATGCATCTTTATGATTTTAAAACTGATTTTAAACTGTCTTTCAACAATCTGTTGGAATTCCCATGGGTACCAATTGCGCCCCCTTATTACATTTAGCAGACCTTTTTGCATTCATATGAAGCAGAATTTACTCAAAAACTTCTACACGAGAAGAAGAAAACACTTGCTGTGGCTTCAACTCGACATTTAGATATATAGACGACGTATTATCAATTAACAATAGTTACTTCCATTCATATTTCATATTCAACTTGATATATCCCAGTGAGCTTGATATAAAAGATACCACAGAGTCTGACACATCTGTTTCATATTGGATAATTTACTAGAAAAAGACTAATGGTAACCTTACATGTACAACAAAGCTGTATGATAAACGTGATGACTTCAATTTTTCAATCGTCAACTTAACAGTTACGACATGCAATAACGATATGTTTCGTAAAACAGTTCTACGATATGTCATAACTTTGGGAGACCCTAGACTTAGGACTTAAGAATTTACCTCTTTTTGTAGAACTTTCCTCAGGGTTGTGGAACTACATATGTAGTAGGATGATTAGCAAAAATAAAGGTTTGGCACGCAAACGAACCGTCCCTGACCAGAGGAAAAAAGGTCATTGGGCTAAGATCACTTGTATAAAATGTGTAAAATTCGTTAACTGTCCATTAATTGCTAAAGGTGAAACATTCTTCCTACATAGATTGCTTATGACCTGAATAAGTGTAATTTCAGATAAAATATATTTATCGTGTAATACATTGCTCAAGCAATCTGAAACCCAGCAAAAGACCATCTTCCAGACTGATTGCTATGGAAGGAACCTTGGCTTGCACCTCTTGACATTGTCAATACGACATCTCCAGCTTGCAACATTAGGATTGCAGACCCTGTAGACATATCTTCATCCCAATTAGCCTCAGTATCCACATGAATGGAACCTTTGTACACACCATTATGAATCAGTTGGACAGACACTTCTCCGTAGTCGCCCGTCTCTCCAGCAACATGTTCACCGGATGCGCAAGATCGTGTAGGAAAATGCAAATACACCGATAGAGGGCGCTGTGAAAGCGCCAGTGTGTTTGTTATATGCGTTTCCATGATTTGTGACCACAGTATCATAGAGAAAAACATGGTCCACACCGACTCCTCCAAAGTCTTTTGAAATGTATGCATAAAAGGCTACCTCACCTTGTTTTTGGAATCTGCGTGTTTCAGTCATTTTGAATTCTGTAATATCACAGGAGTCGGCAATTTTATCAATAAGTTGAAAATAAATGATAAACAGGCATAAATCCTACCAGTGAGCTTCGCGAGCGTAGCGAGCGAAGCGACAGGATGGCAACGAGTTTTCTCGATTTTCTCTAATTCGCTATCCAACCAACATCAAACACCAGACCCTACCCTACATTATCATTCTTTATTATTCTTTATTTTTTAACAGTCTGGTCGAACCCCCGAACGGGGGTAAACGGAAATGGGAAATCCATACCCCCAAACGGGGGTACGAGCATGCGCAGATGCTTAAAAATGTGCGTATTTCACGCAAAAAGTAGGGGTTTACAAAAATCGCCGGTGCAAAGTAACGGATTATTTGGCAAATGTAAAACCACTCGGAAATGATAGATTAAAGGTGTTTTTAGAGTTTGTATTTTACAAAAATACAACTTTATTGTACAAATCGGGATTTATTCACTGGCAAAGTTGGCGATCTTTTGCTCCTTGACATGCAGGTATTTAAGATAAAACATTCGATAAACAGACATAAGCAACTAATGCTAAATTGAAATTATATAAAAAAATGTATTATTCTACATTATATCTTTTATTTTCATAATAAAATGCAAGAAAAAATGGTGCTAATATCGAATTGTTTATGATCGTGGGTTTCAGTCCGCGTTTCCTCTGACTAGCAATCAACGGTCTTTATTATCGATAATCATGCCCAGGAAGTGTAACAAAAATACATATAAAAATAAAATTCAAATGAAATCTATCGTATTTATTGTCTTTTATATCTTATAAGAATTAAATAAAATGTTTGGCAACATATTGTAGTTTTTTTTTATATTAATAAATATGATTGTTTGAGAAAACACGATTGTATTTTATTTTATTTAAATCTAGGTTCTAAATTAATATTTTCCTCATTCTTAGAATATTTTTCCTTGTGTTTTAAATTCCACAATCTTAATTGAGACGTCCTACAAAATAATAAATAATTTCATGAAATGACGGAAAATATTTCGTTATTCCTACAGTATAAATTCAAACTATGGAAAACTTAACCTGTTAATTTTTTTTCTGTTGAAATTTTACCAATTTCATAGCAGAAATAACATTATTATCGATCTTTTTCCTTAGATAAATGATATATAGGCAAGTTTGTTTATATTGGATACGGCAAGAGTTACTGTTCTTGCGCATTGCATGACGGGACGGAAAAACCCTCGTTTGGGGGTATACCCCCGTTCGGGGGTTCGACTAGACTGTTTAATGTTCAAATAACCAAAAAACATTAACCAACTCTATCCCTTAATAAAAATTGGAATATGCTTATTAAAAAAGAAAGGGAGATAATCATCTACTTTCGTTTGAGGGAAATTTGAAAACAGATATTGAAAATCGTTTCGAAGAGCTGATTCAAGACAATTTAAGATGTCCAACAAATTTGGAGCTTCTGTTTGATAAGTGGATTTTTTAAAATCACTTAATAATGCTGAAAACACATTAAAAGAGAACCGAAATGTTGATATTGCCTAAAAATAAAAAATGTGGTGTTTACTGCAATGAATGTGACGTCACGCAGAATTGTCAATGGCCGCTGGTTGTAAACTAGATGTGAAGAAGTGTGATTAAAATGATAATGTAGGGTAGTTGAATGGTAAAAAATGTCAGGAATTAGTTAATGGACACTACGGAGTTGATATCTGGTGTTTGATGTTGGTTGGATAGCGAATTAGAGAAAATCGAGAAAACTCGTTGCCATCCTGTCGCTTCGCTCACTACGCTCGCGAAGCTCACTGGTAGGATTTATGCCTGTTTATCATTAAG